TAGCGTTTTAAGGAAGTCAGCAGGCCCAGGCGGGGCTTCCGCCCAGCGAGACTTCTGACTGGCTGTGCAGATTTTTAAGAACGTGACTTTGGTGGCGGCTGCCTGCCACCACAGCACAAGGATCTTCACTGTGTGAATGACGGTAAGCTGTGGTTTTCGGGGCTCCTCCCTGCCCCCAGACAGCCACGCCCCCGTGTGACTTCCCCGACATGACAACATCACCCGGAAGTGACATCATCACATTGGGGGACATCACACAGGGACGCTCTCGTTTAAGGGCAAAACTCTATGTTTTTAAGCTGGCTTTACCACAGAGTTTTGCCCTTAAGTCAGAGCGTCCCCACATGATGAAATAACTTCAGGGTAACGTCATCATGCCGGGGACCTCCCGGAACACCCCCCAAATCCCCCCACTGGAACGACGAGGGAACCTGGCAACCCTCGGCTGATGTGAGGGGAAGACCACGCAGGCCATTGTGTGCCCCATGGAGGAAGGGCGGGATGGAAATGCGCTAGAGGTAGGAGAGAGGCAGACGGGGCCAGTCCCAGGTGAGGCGATGCTATGCCGGCCAGCTCTCTGTCCCGCTCCCTACCCCTAGAGATGTAAAATTTCTGGAAATTTTGAAGCTTGGGAAAAAACCCGGGTTTTTTCCGGGTTTTTTCGGGGGGAAAACGGAAATTTTCGGAAAAATTGAAAAAATGCTACATTAGCATTTCTTTTGTCTTTTCTAGATTGAAAGTCATTCTGTTACTTTAGGAACATAAAATATGACTATGGACATTTTTACTTGGCATGAAATTATCACAACTAGCATATTAAAAATATAGTGTATCCAAACAATTATTACAAACAGAATACCCACCCACATGCAAAAACAAAACTGAAACTTTTTTATTTTCTTCTGACAATCGCACCTCCTAAAGGAAGAAATGCATCTTGTTCTTGCATTGGAGGGTTCAGTTTGTAACCTAGGACTTGCTTGTCCTCAGTGCACAGAAATTAGATCAATCTGATACCGTATATATATATTTTAGAAATGATTTGGAAAATATTTGAACACCTTGTCTTAAAATATTTTATTCATCATGTTAAAACAAAACGTTCCATAATCATTTTTTTTTTCTTTTTTCAATTTTTCCAATTTTTCGGGAAAAAACCAAAAAGGCTTCAGGGAAAAAACGGAAAAACCCCGTTTTCCCCCCAAATTTTTCCAGTTTTTTCCCGGGCCTTCACATCTCTACCCACCCCACAAGCTTACCTTCACTGTCAAATTTCATCCAGGCGATGTCGTCCCCCACACATTCCACCTTCCAACCGGGCAGGGTGGGATTCATCATCGCCATGTTGGTCTTCCCGCAAGCGCTAGGGAAGGCGGCCGCCACGTACTTCTTCTTCCCCTCCGGGTTTGTGATCCCCAAGATCTGAAAGGAAACGTGAGAAGTGGGTGACGGCCACGCAGATGCCCGGGGCTCTTGAAAGCACACAGACGCCGGGAAGGAATGAGCGGAAGCCTTGTCCAGAGTCAGGCGATCGAGCTCTGCTCTGGGTCCTCGGCCTGGCGGCAGCCCTCCATTCTCTCACACATAAAGGGCCTTTCCCCAAGACTGCCAGGTGAAGTCCATCTACACAGGCACTCAGTCTGTCTCTGGACACAGTTCAAGGTGCCGCTCTTGACCTTCGAAGCTCTGTTTCGGGGGCAACAAGCCTGAGGGACCGCCTACAAGGTATAGATAGGGGCTCTGGGGCAAGTGATGCTCTGTCATCTTGGTGCTTGGGGGGGGTCAACAGTGGGAGGGCTTCTAATGTCCTGGCCCCACTGGTGGACCTCCTGATGGCACTTGGTATTTCTGGCCACTGTGTGACACAGAGAGTGTTGAACTGGATGGGCCTTTGGCCTGATCCAACATTGGCATCTCTTATGTTCTTATGTTCTTATGAGCAAAAATTCTACTTTGTGAGCTACTGGCATTAAAGTTGTGAGAGAGCGATTTGGCTACTGCATACATTAGTTTGCTTTGGAGCCCTCCTTCCTGAGCTAAGACCAAAATGTGTGAGCCGAAGGCTAAAAAACTGTGAGCTAGCTCACACTAACTCAGCTTAGAGGGAACACTGACCTGGACTTGGGCAAACTTAGTCTTTTTCCCGCCCTTCCAAGGATAATATGCACCAGGCAGGCAGGGCATTTTTGCTAGGCAAAACCACGAACGGGGCTCATGCGGCTGACATTTCGTTCTCAAATATGCCGGGCGAATCTGATCACGGTTCCCCACGCATTTTGTTCATTAGAACCCCCTAGCAGCTTCTACAGATGTCCCCCGCTTGTTTCAAGGCCCCAGAATGTTTTGCGGCCAATACGAAATTCACCTTTCAGAAACCGGACTCATACTAGGAGATATCTCACAATGCCCTGCGGGAGAACTTTGCTCTATTGAACTACATGTCCTCCGGGCAAACAGAAGCCAGCCAGAATTCTTCCCAAGCGCACGGAAACCTCTTGCATTCCAAGCGGTATTTGTTTGCCTTGCCAAAAAACGAAAAGACCAGGGCAGCGGCATTCAGCCAGCCAACAATCAGATTAACCCGTCGGAAGTCTTTCCATTGATTCAACAGCCGCCTCCAATTAATCGGATTTTGTCTTTAAAATAGCCGTTTTAAAAATATAACAAAGCTGGTGACCTGCTTTTTTATTTTTTGCAGGGCACAAGAGTTAACCCTTCGACTACAACATTTCTGCATGCCGTGCTGCTGTTTAACCACGCAGTGGTCCTGCTAAACAGAAGGTAGGAAATGTAGGAGGAGGAGATTGGATTTATACCCCGCCCTTCACTTTGGAGTCCCAGAGCGGCTGACAAACTCCTTTCCCTTCCCCTCCCCACAACAGACACCGTGTGAGGCAGGTGGGGCTGAGAGAGCTCTTTCGAGAACTGCTCTTTCAAGAACAGCTTTACGGTGGAACCTGAAAATCACCACTCCACGCTAGAGAACGTCTACCACATACTTTCTTTTAAGACAGAACACAGCTGTATCTTGCAATAGTGATTACAGGAGAGAGATCTAAACGGTCCGTTTTACTGTGGGACAATCTATCCGTGGAGAGGCCATGGCTCAGTGGCAGAGCATCTGCTTGGCATGCAGAAGGTCCCAGGTTCAATCCCTGGCATCTCTAGCTAAAAGCACTGGCAGTTGGTGATGTGAAAAGCTTTCGCCTGAGACCCTGGAGAGCTGCTGCCCGTCTGAGGAGAAAAATACCGACTCTGAAGGACCAAAGGTCTGCTTCACTATAAGGCAGCTTCAAGTGTTCCTGTGTTTTCAATCCGGCAGTTCTAAACTCTCCGCATATAGAGAGAGGAAGACTGTCCAAAACGACCCACAGGGCGCCGAAGCCTCCCCTACTGTCTCTTGAGAAACCTGTATAAGGGCAATAGACTTGCAGCGTACTAAATGATTCACAGAGCTACTTGGAAAACGTATTAGGGACTGTGGTCGATAGTACTGTGTACAGCTTGCTGAAACTAGGAACCTACTATGCAATTTTGCATCGTTTAATGTGTCACGTTAACACTTAACGCTTTGCGTCAAGTTCTGCTTTTAGATTTCTGGTTAGTTCTACAACCCTAATTCCTATCGCACTGTTTACTGAGTGTCCCATCTGTTGATTGTCTTGACTCACTCTTTGTAATCCGCCTGGAATTCAAGTGAGAAAGCTGGACTATAAATATGTTCAAGGTGGGTCGCCGTGTCGGCCTGAAGCCACAGAACAAAGTTTGAGTCCAGTGGCACCTTTAAGACCAACAGAGTTTAATTCTGGGTATAAGCTTACACCCAGAATTAAACTTTATTGGTCTTAAAGGTGCCACTGGACTCAAACTTTGTACTTAAAATAAAAATAATACCCTATGGCAAATTTGTTCAAGTGTCTTTCCACATTTTTCTCTCCCGACTCTTTAGTCTCTCCGCCTTCAAAAACTGCAAGACAGACAGAAATTCTCCAGGCAACCCCCTCTGTGTCTGTGTGTGTATCTGTCTTTTTTTATGTTTTGCATGGCACAAGAGTTAACCCTTCGACTACAACATTTCTGCATGCCGTGCTGCTGTTTAACCACACAGTGGTCCTGCTAAACAGAAGGTAGAAAATGTAGGAGGAGATTGGATTTATACCCCGCCCTTCACTTGGAGTCCCAGAGCGGCTTACAAACTCCTTTCCCTTCCCCTCCCCACAACAGACACCCTGTGAGGCAGGTGGGGCTGAGAGAGCTCTTTCGAGGACTGCTCTTTCAAGAACAGCTTTACGGTGGAATCTGAAAATCACCACTCCATGCTAGAGAACGTCTACCATATACTTTCTTTTAAGATAGAACACAGCCGTGTCTTGCAATAGTGATTACAGGAGAGAAATCTAAACGGTCCGTTTTACTGTGGGACAATCTATCCGTGGAGAGGCCGTGGCTCAGTGGCAGAGCCTCTGCTTGGCATGCAGAAGGTCCCAGGTTCAATCCCCGGCATCTCTAGCTAAAAGCACTGGCAGTTGGTGATGTGAAAAGCTTTCGCCTGAGACCCTGGAGAGCTGCTGCCCGTCTGAGGAGAAAAATACCAACTTTGAAGGACCAAAGGTCTGCTTCACTATAAGGCAGCTTCAAGTGTTCCTGTGTTTTCAATCCGGCAGTTCTAAACTCTCCGCATATAGAGAGAGGAAGACTGTCCAAAACGACCCACAGGGCGCCGAAGCCTCCCCTACCTGCTGAAACCTCTTTGCGTGAAAAGCACCGTAGTCTTGTGCAAACGATCCCACAATGCTTCGCGGCGAAGCCCGTGGCCCTTTGCTCCCCACACGTCTCTCCCCAGGGGGCAACGGCCTCCGGGTCTCGACGAGGGCTCTCGTACGTCCATCTGTTCCTCCCCCCCACCACCACCACCACCTCTGTGCGTCAGACTCATCCTCGCCATTTAGGATTTCGGCAGCCCTCGATAACTCATTAACCAATTAATATTTGCTCACAAAATGTCCCCGGAGAGGCAATGTAAACACCCATTGCCCTTCGACCTCTCCCCAGCCGTTTCGGCTCTCTGCTCCTCTTCCACGCGCCACCATCGTTCTGGCTGCCCGGACCCCTGGCTGCACAGCGCTAGGTTCCCTCCTGTCCCCATAGTGGGGCTCCATTCCGAGCTTGGGGTCGGCCCCAGGACCTGTTTTCGGAGCCAGTGAACAAGCCTGGCCTGGGATGCCCCAGGCTAGCCAAATCTTCTCAGATCTCAGAAGCCCAATCCAAGTTTAGGGCTGCCAGGTCCCCCAGGAGGGCGGAGGTTCCCCCGCTCAAAGGGTCCCCAATCCGCCGGTCAGGAAAAGGCCAGCGGGGGGAACCCCGTCCCCAACGTGCCCAGTTCAGGCCGACATACCCGGCGCCATGACGTCACCCGGAAGTGACATCATCACGTTGGGCCCGTCACCGGCTGACACTCTAGCAATCAGCCTGAAAACTCTATGGTACCATAGAGTTTCCAGGCTGACTGCTAGAGCGCCAGCCGGCGACGTGCCCAACGTGATGACGTCACTTCCGGGTGACGTCAACGCGGAGCGCGTGCGCGCAAACTCTCCCCCGCTTTTAACCGTAAGCCACTTGGCGACCCTATCCAAGTTACTACTTGGATGGGCGACCACCAAGGACATCCAAGGGCGTGGCCACTGTTCCCTCTAAGCCAAGTTAGTGTGAGCCAGCTCACATTTTTTTAGCCTACGGCTCACCCATTTTTGT